GGGGCTTCCTCTGATCCCTCTCAGGGGGACTAGACCCAGGCTGTGGAAGACACGGGCTCTGTTTCCCAGTTTCCAGGACTCTGGGCCAGGAGGGAGGGTGCTGCCTCTTCCCCAGCTGCACACGCGCAGGCCTGTGCCAGCTCACGCCACCAGCATCAGTATCGCCGGGCACCCCGCCTGGAGCATACGCCGGTTGCCATGGCAGCAGGCAGCGTGCCGGCAGGAGCCCAGGCTGGGCTATAGCATCCAGGGACAGTGGCCTAGACATGGAGCTGGGTTCTTCCTCTGGTAGCCCCCGAGGGGGCTGACTGGGTGGAGGGAGGAGGGAGGAGGGAGGGGGATCTTCCAGCGGCCAGGATGGCCCATCCCCCAGCATATTTGAAAAGAAGCCCTTTCCTGAGTGTTCCAGGGTGGACACCAGGGGCCTGGGGGTTACAAGGCTCTTTCTGCTCCTGGCTTCAGCTGGACACTAAGGGGACAGGGGACTAAATTCAGCCTGGTCTTGTCTGCCAGAGGAATTCTGACAACCGAGGTAATCCTTGCCTTCTGGACGCAGCCGTGGCCAGGAGGTTCCTTCTGCTATGTCCACTGCAGTTGGCCACTCCCCGCAGCAGGAGGTTGGGGTGCTGTCCCCCCCAAATGGCCTCTCAGTGCCCATCAGGACAAGGCACCCCCTACACAAGTCAAACATTTAAGTCAGTGAATTGGGTACCCAGGCATCCGTGCTCAGGTCTGGTCCAGAGGCAGAAGACAGCAGCCTGGGTATTGGGCATCATTGGGCACATGCCTTGCCCCCTGCCAGTTCAGAGATGGGCAGGGGTGGGCGGGTGAAGGGGGCTCCCAGAGTGGCCACAACCTTGGATGTAGCCCGGCCAGACAACAGCAGCAGTCGTGTGTGTGCACCCCACATGGGTGCATGGATACCTCTGGGGGACATGGCCACAGGCCTGCATGGGGGGTCTGTGGGAGGGCGGCACCCTGGGCTGGAGTGTCCAGGCCCACCATGGGCTCTGGTGAGTCGTATGCATCTGGGGCTCGAGTGGAAGCTGGAAACAGGCTCCTTTGGGCAGGGCACAATCCGCTTACCCTGCTGGATAGACACAAGTGGGTCCAGGGCCGCATCCCCAGAGCCAGGGCTTGCCCAGCAGTTGACTCTGCTGGCCACCTCTCCCCACCCTCCTCCAGGTCACCTTCACACACACGCACATGGAGACATGTGCACACATACACAGGCACACACATGCACACGGAGACACAGGCATACAGACACACACGTACACAGAGATACACATGAACACAGAGACACAGGCATACAGAGACACACGTGCACACAGAGACACCACACCCACACACAAACACATGCAATGCTGCATCCATCTGCAGAAGCTCAGCCTGTCACACAAGAGCCAGACCCCCATGCTGGACATGGTGATGCCGGTAGTCTTAGCTACTATGAGTTTGAGGCTGCAGTGAGCTGTGATTGCGCCACTGCACTCCAGGGTGGGCCACAGAGCAAGGCTTTGCCTCTAAAAATAAATAAGTAGGCCAGGCGCAGAGGCTCACGCCTGTCATTACAGCATTTTGGGAAGTGGAAGCAAGAGGATTGCCTGAGCCCAGAGGTTCAAGACCAGCCTGGGCAACGTGTTGCGACCTCATCTCTACAATACATCAAAAAACTGGCCAGGCTTGGTGGCTCAGCTTGTAATCCCAGCACTTTGGGAGGCTGAGGCGAGTGCATTGTCTGAGCCCGTGGGTTCGAGACCAGCCCGGGCAACTTGGCAAGACCTCCTCTCTACAATAAATCAAAAATTAGAGCTGGACTCGGTGGCTCAGCCTGTAATCCCCCGCCTTTGAGAGGCTGACGTGAGTGGATTGCCTGAGCCCGCGGGTTCGAGACCCACCTGGGCAGGTGAGACCTCATCTCTACAATAAAAAAAAAATTAGCTGAGTGTGGTAGCGCGCGCCTGTAGTTCCAGCTACTTGGAAGGCTGAGGCGGAGGGATCGCCAGAGCCCAGCAGGTTGAGGCGGCGGTGGCTGGGAGCGGCCACTGCACTCCAGTCTGGGCGACAGAGTGAGACTCCAACTCAAAAAAAAAAAATTAGCCAAGTGTAGTAGCGCATACCTGTAGTTCTGGCTACTTGGAAGGTTGAGGCAGAAGGATCGCCGGAGCCCAGCAAGTAGACGCTGGGGTGGCTGTGAGTGTGCCACTGCACTCTAGCCTGGGCGACAGAGTGAGACTCCAACTCAAAAAATAAAAATAAATAAATAAGAACTGGGTCTCCCCACATCCAATAACAACAAGCACTTTTTAAGTGCCTACTGTGTACCAGAACCCTCACGGGGCTCCAGAAGGAAGCACTACCCTAGCAGGCAGCTGGGCAAGGGACTTGAGTTCTGAGGTGGAGGCTGGGAGGGTCAGGAAGCCTGTCCTGGGCAGCTCACCTTTCGGTCCCCTCCCCAGGGCCCAAGAGTCTCTTGTAGTCACACGCCTGGGTCAGCACCAGGCAGCCCCAGCCCCCTGGAGCTGTGGGGCCCCAGAATTGAGGGGCCACTGCCACTTCTGGCTCTGCTGTTGAGAGGCTGCTCAGAGCCAGGTCCGCTTAGCGCCTGGCGGCCAGGCTTCCTCCCGCTGGGCACCTGATGCCTACGTGCCTTGCCAGCACCAGGCAGCGCTAATGAGGCCATCATGCTAATCCGAGGGACAGGTCGTCTCCGGCTCCCTGCAACCTGGCTGGGAGCTGGGTGTGGAGGAGCAGTCAGTGTCCATACCTGGGGGCCTGTGGACACAAGAGCCTTCTGACATCCCCCATCACACTCAGATCCACTGAGCTGTGCCCCCAGGAGCTAATGGGAAACAGGTGGGGGCAGCCTCACGGGCTTGTACCTCTAAACCAGGGACATTCCCCTGGCATTGTGCTAGTCTGGGCCTCCCAGTTCTCTGAGAACTGTGGGGAGATCATATATGGGCACTGGGGCTATTTCGGGGGCGTGCAATTCCAGACTTTGTCTCTTTAGGATGGTGCCTGGCTGCACGCTATACATGTGTGTGGATCTCATGGGTGGATGAAGCCAGACACAGGGAGAGCTGAGACCGGGCCATGGCGTGGGAGGAATTTGCACGTAGGAGTCTCACTTTGCACCCGACTGCTGAGCTTGAGGACAGGTCCTCTCTTCTCCCCCCGCCCTAAGTATCTGCAGGTGCCTGGTGTGTTTGCTGCCTTACCCTGTGCACACTCCCCCACTGTAGGTCCCTGTGCCTGTCTGCCCCTGCCAACCCCTGGGGCCCATATGTGCCCAGCCTAGTCCTCTTTAGCTTTGCTAGATCCCCACTGCATGGGGCCCCCGCCATGGCCACTCGGGGGATGGAGGGCCCAGGATGATGGGGGAGTGACTCGAGGTCATGGCTGGAAGTGCACCATGTCCCCTGTTCCTGGTCCCCAGGGAGGCCCGAGGGTCACACGCTGTGATGAGGAAGAAGACACCGAGGCTGGCCCCGGCCCAGGATGGGCAGCTCTGGTTTCACTACTTGGCTCCTGGCCCCTGAGGCAGGTGCAGGAGACAGGCAGCCCAGGCGCAGCTGAGCAAGGACCCACTGAGGTCCCCAGGACGCCCCTTAGGCTCAGGGTGAAGGGGGTGCAGCCCAGCCACGCCGGGGGCTGGGCGGTGCCAGGAGTCATGTGTAGCCACTTCCAGCCTCCCAGCCTGCCAGCCGCATCCTCTTCCCTGGGAGCGTGGGCTGGACTTTGCCTCCCATGGACCCAGACTTGCATTCATGAGGCCCCCAAAGTCAGGTCAGTGGCTCCGGTGATGGGAGTGGCAGTTCCCGGGCCTCTAACGCGATCCAGCAAGTCCAGCCCTCCGTAGGAGAGAGAGCAGCCTCACAGCCCAGGGTCTTACTCAGGACACCTAGGAGTGCACTGGGAGCCAGGCTGGCCTGGTCTCTGACCCCAGGGCCAGAGGCCGCCTGCTGCCTGCAGGGCTCCTCGGACCAGTGTTCTCTACCTTCCTGCCACAGGGCCCCGAGGTGGGCGTCACTGTCTCCCCTGTACAGCGGCTGCTCTTCCCAAACCAGGAGTCTTTTCCATGGGACCAGCACAGCCAGAGTCATCTGTTGCCTTGACTCAGGGTCGAGGTGCACAGGTAGATGGGACCCAGAGGGGCCGCAGCCCTGTCACTGGCACAAACACCCCTTGGACCCCTTTCCCAGCCCAAGGCCCTGGGCTGCAGGCTGGGGCCAGAGCAGAGCGGCCTGGGGGAGCGCGCACGACATGGCTGCAGGTGTGGGTGGGGGGCCTTTCCGAGCTCCTGGCAGCAGGAATCAGAGAAGCGGTAACTGGATGCCGCCGGGGATCTGGCGGCCACCGAGGGTGGAGGGCTGCGATCGGGTTGCGGCCGCGCTGTGAGTTTTCCACCCGGTGGCTTTTTCTACGTTGGGAAAGCACTGGGTTGGGCCAGGAGTCCACGCAGGGGGCTTGGGGACCCCTGAGGTGGTGGCAGGAAGGAGAGAGGCCAAGAGGTGCGGGGCCACGGGAAAGGGCACAGGGCCCGCGGCTGAGAAGCAGGAGGTGGTCGACCCTCTCTGCAGCCCTGCAGGCCCCCGGCTCCGGCCTCGGTGCAATCCGGGCGTAGCTGAAATCCAAGCTGGGGGCCATGAAAGGC